CCCTGCGGACGACGAAGTCATGCGTACGATAGACGGTCATGCGTAGCGTCCTGTCGATCCTGCACCCAAGGTAGGTTACGACTATCTGGTACGCAATCTTCTGGCCGTTGAGGGTCAGCGGAGGTGGAAATTTCCTGAGACGGCGAGTGAGCAGAACGGTCGTCTTACCAACGTTGACGACCATCCTCCACTCATCCAGCCATGGTGGCAGCAGGTCCAGCAGACGCTGCATCTTGGCAGTGGCTATGTGGGCTCTTCTGGACGAGGTGAAATAGGCACTATCGTCTGCATATAGCGCCAGCTCAACGTCGTCCTCCCACTCTTGAAGCCTGCCTGCCAATGTAGGTATATCGTTAGTGTAAGCCGCGTACAGGACTGGAGACAAACAGCTGCCCTGTGGAACGCCGGCTCTGATGGATCTGGTTGCGGACTCGGCGTCCTCTACGCAGACGTAGAACTTCCTGTCTTCCAGGAAAGACGCCATTAGCCGCAACATAGCAAGAGGGACACTGGTCTGTTCGTTCAGCTTATAAAGTAATCCTATGTGCCACACCCGGTCGAACGCCTTCTCGATATCGAGAAAGACGCCCAACGATATGCGGCCACGATTACACTCTGCCGCAAGCAGGTGCAGCACTCTAGTGAATTGCGTGACTGTAGAGTGACCCCTCCTGAATCCGTGCTGCTCCGCCCGAAGTTGGATACACGGATGGAGACGTCTCAGCAGCAATTTTTCAAACAGTTTAGCTATGTGCGGTAATAGCGTGATCGGCCTGTAGCTGGCAGCTCTACTCCTGTCCTTCCTGGGTTTCGGCAAGACGATGACTTTGCCTTTCTTCCAGTCCTCTGGGAAGTGGGATGTCCGCAATATCCCATTGTAGAGTCGACCAAGCTCTACTAGGACTCTATTGGGCAGCTGTCGGAGTGCAGCGTTGGTAATCCCATCGTGCCCCGGCGCCTTCCTCGGTTGCAGGCAGGTTACTGTCCTCCGCAGTTCAGCGGGGGAGATGAACCACTCTCCTGCAAGAGGCGGCGCGGGCGACGACAGGAACTCCTGTACGCGACTTTCCTTCCGGGCATGAAGCTCCATGAACTCCGCACTTGCTGGGTTCGGCATAAATTGCTCCTCGAAGTGCTCTACTAGGATATCCGCTCTGCCCTTGGCATCGTAGCAGCGTTCGACCGCGTTGTTGGTCAGCGGGCAAACGGGAGGTTTGATTTTGGTCAACTGCCGGTTCAGTTTGTAGAGCGACGCATCATACTCATCCGCCTTCCAGATGCGCCGATCCCAAGCCTCCCCTCTGAAGGCCTGGACTGCAACCGACAGTTCCTCCGATAAGGTGTTAAGCTGGGTCTTTAGTCCAGGGCAGCGAGTACGCGCCCAGAGCTTTCTCAGCGCTCTTTTGTGTTTGATCTGCACGCATATCTCACGCGGCAGATCGTCTCGCCTTGCTCTGATCGGGACGATCGTAGAGGCCGCTTGGAGGGCCTCCTTGATGTTCTTGGTAATTCTAGTAGCAGCGGCCTTTACGTCGTCCGCTGTGCTTATAGGCTGATGTGCTGGAGGTCTCTGCTGCAGATGTTGACAGTAAAGCCTCCAGTCAACACGTGTCTTAAATGCTCTGGGCGGCATAGTCACCGCCTTCAGGCCAAGGGTTATCAGAATCGGGAGGTGCTGTGAGGAGAGGTCGTACAGCACTTTTACCACTGTCGGGTAGAGCACGATGTCTAATACATCTGGATGTCTCCGTGGGTCAGTAGGAACGTGAGTTGGTTCCTCGGGACCTAATACGTCATAATTGTTCTTTTCTGCGTCGTCATAGAGTTCAAGACCCGGCGGGGTGATCACTCTGGACCCCCACGCCGGGTGTTTAGCGTTTAGGTCCCCGGCGATGATTGTGGGTGTTTCACCTTCTATCACCGTCCGGATGTCTGAAGAGCAGAATGGAGGCGGCGGGCGAGGAACTTAGGATTTATGCAGCATACCGCCCGCCAGGGACATTCTGCTCTTATTTTTATGCTTTTATTATGCCGATAGAGCGCATAGTCTGGTATGGTGGTAGTTCCAGTTCCTGATGGACGATGTCCCTCCTCACTAGAACCGCCGTCCCTCTATAGGCGGCCCCTTGAGAAGTGACCTCGTCCCTTCTGTATATGTGGTAATTCGGCAGCTTAATATGCGTCTTTGGGTTTAGCTTCGTCTCTCCCAGCAAAATGATGTGCAGATCCTGTTGCTGGGCGACTGTGCGGAGTTCATGCAGCTTCTGCTGTATTCCGTCCGGGTTCCAATAGAGGAGGCGCAGATTACTCTCCTCCGTAATGCCGTGCTAGAAGGTTTGCCAGCGCCTTCATTATCGCCGTCACTGGATCTGTCCCGGCTCTGATGTCAGCCAGGACTTGTGTGCCGACCTCGATGGCAATACCAACCAGACGCTGGATTGCGTCTGCTGTTTCGAGGCCGGCGGTAGGTGTTCTCCTATAAGAAGGCGTTGGCAATTGTCTCGGGTGTTGGAATTCTTGGTTTTGCTCTCTTTGCTTGTGGGTAGAGCGCGCTCTACCAGTAGAGCGGGCTCTATGTTCGGGTAGAACCCTTTCTGGCACTTTACCCACGCTTTTGGTTGTCTCCCGAGTAATCTGCGCCTGTGAGGCTACTGGTACAGTTGGTGTCGGGGTAGAGGTAACAGCCTGAGGAGGCTGTGACTTCTTCCTACTTCTCCCTCGCCTCTTTTTGGAGGGTTGCCGTTCTGTGGCGGGGTTGGCGGGGGGCTGTAGAGTCGCCCCGGTGGTTGCCCTGGTCATTGTGGGTTCCACCGTTTCCTGAGATGTTACGGGTGGGGGGGGGGCTGGTTCCCTGCCCTTCCCAGTGATGGTAACCCATCCGTCTTTCTGTATGGTGACAGCTTTTGGGCGACTCTGGGGGATCTTTTTAGGGTCCTCCGAGAGTAGACCCGGCAAAGTTTTCCCCTGCCTCCTAGCAGTCCTCCTCAGGATTGGGCAGCGGCGGTCATTTGCCGTGTGGTTTTTGCCACAGTTGACACACTTCGGTTCTTCCTCTCTACCCCGAGGGCAAAGGCTTGCAATGTGCTCCCCGGCACAGCGCACGCACCTCACTGGCCTGAAGCAGTTGGCAGAGGCGTGCCCGAAGGCCTGGCATCGATGACATTGAGCTGGTCCTGCTTTTCTTTGCCAAGCCTCGATGACGACCCCTCTCATATAGAGAAGTTCGTCGATTTTATAGAGATCCTGGAGCTGCTCCAGGCTCAGGTGGTCAAGTTGGGCAAAGTAGATGCAGCCAGGTCTGCTCTTACGAGGTGGGATTGCCTTCACATATTTTACTGGGAAGCCTTTTACCCTTATAGCCTCCTCTATTATTTTGGTATCCGTGCCCATTGGTAGACCCCGGATGCCCACTTTAGTGGGCTTGTCCTCCTCCGGGGTATAACAATACCACGACAATGTTGGTGTTTCCTTGGTTAACTCAACCATGTAGCGCTGCACTGTACGAAATTCGTTGGTGCTTTGCGGTGTAAACCGTACGCCTTTCCCGAACGGACGGGCATTTAAAGGGTGGCCCAACATTCTGTTGAGCTTGTTAAAATGCCTCGTCCAGTCCGGTAGGCATTCAGCCACTATGGGCGGATATCGGGCTTTGTTCTGGTCGGCAGGCTTATCAATAGGCACTGCCGCCGGTGGTGGTCGTGATACTGCTGGTGCAGCTACCATATGGGCATAGCTGGTAGATGGCCGTTGGCCATCGTCCTGCGGGAGCCCGGACGGGTTGGATGTTGCCACCGGCGATGATCGGCCGGCGGATGCTGCGAGGGTAGCATACATGGTTGACCCCCAACTGTAAGATTCTTCACCCCCCTGCTCATATTGAGCCGAATCTTGGCTTCGCCGATCCGGAGATATAGAGCGGGGGGGGGGGGGGGGGTTGTGGTGGAGAGGATGACTTGGATGGCGATCTATGCACCTTCTTCGACGTCACCTGGTGGTAATCTTCATCCTCTTCCGATGTAGATGGTGCTTCATCGGAAGAAAGGCTTCGGTTTCTGGTGGAGTATGTCGTCTTGCCGTTTTCATTACCCGCTGCTGCTGGGGCGACGGTTCCCGCCTGACCGTGTGCTCAGACACGGACGGCGTGAGCGCGACGCCCGGTACGGGCTCCTTCCGTGGCGAGACGGGTTTTCTTTGGGGATCTGTGAAAAGGATGACACTGTGCTAGTGCGCTCCGGATTCGCCAGATCCCTCACAATCAGTGGTCGTTCCAACACACCTTTTCGGTCCGGTGGTTTTCTTATTGGGGGGAGGGGGGCGCCAGGCTCCCCTTTTTCTTGTCGGACATGATAACCTACCTACGTTAGTCAGGTAATCTAGATTTAGGCCCTGTCTAAAATGCGATGGTATAAAAATAGTGACTATCCTCACTTGGGGCACTGCCTACCCCTTTTGCAAACAAAAGGGTTGGGGGAAGTGCGATGGTGGCACTTTATACCGCGACTGGGCACAGAATGCACGTAACGCATAAAATGCCAAGAATCACCTAGGGGTCGGTGACCTCGACGCCTCACGGAATCACGGGACTCGACGATCGGCGGAGTATGTCGTACCGGCGGTTATTCTCAGCCACTGCTAACTACAGATAACACACACCTAGGAGATCCTTGATTCCTAATCATATAGTTTGTTACGAAGAATTTTGAACTGAACCTTATCGTAAGCCTTTGACATATTGTTTATTTTAATAGTAGTAAGTAAGTAATTTTATCATAGATTTCTTATATCAAAGCTCAATCTATGCTCCTCTGTTGTCAATGTCTGTCAGTGACAGAATGACAGGTAAATTTTCTCTATGAGATGTTTTATCTGTATCAATCTATAAAAAATATTAAAATTATAAAATATTGTTGTGAGTCAGTCTTTCAGACGGCGTTCTACGTTGTTTCTTTGTAATATTTGGTTGAAAAAAACCACTGTTCACTTAGTACAAATAATGTAAAATGGCTATAAACTTAGAGAAACACCGGGAAGCATTGATTGCAGCATGGACGGACGTATTAGACGAAAAAACCGACACCAACTGGTGAGTAAGCTTTCATTGTACGACCTACTTGTTGGCAAAGTAAAATATTCAATTCATAAATTAATAGCCTAAATTACAAGACAACCCTGCCATAATGCATAGTATTTGTATGAGTCTGCAGTAAGTTAGGTGCACAGTTTATACATATTATAACAAAAATGTGTCCCTGGCAAGAACTACAAAATATTACAATTACTTTCAATATGTGACCTTTCTTAATCTGCATATTATTTAAAATATTTTGTGTAACTTACAATCATGGCTAAATAGACAGAGGCCTCTGAAAACAAGGTGATTTATTTGAACAGAACCTTTCATACCATTCCAGTTCATATATTTGGATTACAGATATATCTTTAAATTGTTGTTGAGTGGTGGAAACAATTTAAAGAATTTAAAGGGATTTTTTGTGAATGTGGGGGAAATATTTCACATTATATATAAAAATCATCCACACCCTTAAATATATAGGCCCTACAAATATGCAGTCTGTGTGACAGCCAATAGCTTAGCAATTGATTAATGATGATGATCATTGAAGCCCTTTACAAGTCCACTGCTGAACAAGTTTAGTTTTTAATTTAGTTTACGACGGGCTGTTTTCCGCAACTCCATGTCTAAGCGCGTATTTTGCGTGTGGGTAGGAATAATATGCTTATTCGAGCCATGATATCTCCCCGAAGAAGCTCAGCAGTCCCTTGATGTTGCAAGCAACTTCGGGGAGCGATCCCGGTGTGCAGAGATGTTTAGCCCTGTATGAAGCGACTTCTGGACATGTCAGCAACACGTGAGCCGCCGTTTCTTCCTCTCCCATGCATGCCCTGTACAGGGGGCTGTCAGTACCACCTATGGTGAACAAATGTTTGTTAAAAGAGCCATGTCCTGTGATAGCACTTGTTACTATCCTGATCTGTGGCTTGTTCAGTCTCATTAGAACCTTGGTTAGACGACTGTTTATTTCAGGTAGGGCCTCCCTAGCTTGTCTGCAGTCTCCAAAAATTTTCCAAAGCTGAGCGTGTAAATTATTGAAGTATCTACATACCAGTGAACGAACGTAGCCAAAGGGGGATTGGTATTATTGGTTCCGGCCCTATAGTTGCTAGGGCCGATCCCCAAAGGGGATCTGGCCAGTTCATCTGCTGCATCATTGCCTCTAGATCCACTGTGTCCCTTGATACATTGCAGAGTCACATTGTTGTGCTTACATACTTTCTCATTCAATTGTTGATGGCACTAGTATATTAGTCCTGAGCTCGTCACATTGCTACTCAGCGCTTGTAGTACAGCCATACTGTCGGTCAGTATTCTGATGGAGAAGTCTTTCACCTTCCTAGCATCTATTGCTATGGCCGCTTGGATGATACCCATGCATTCAGCCTTGAAGACTGTGTTGTGGGTACCTAGCGGTGTGCATATGTGGATATTAAGGTCTTCAGAGAGCCCCAGACCCCACACCTTCATTTGTCTTAGAGCCATCCGTGAAAACTTTGAGCTCTCTTGGACCCAATCCTTCCAGATGGTCAGTTTCCTTCAATTGTATCCTTTATTTCTTATTGAATACAAATTGTTTTGGGATCCTATCATAATTGGCTTGTAAGATAGGAACTTTTGAGTAAATTCTATTGATTATATCTGTATGGGGGATTCTACTCTTACTTAAAAGATTTAGGGTCTTGAGTCTAATGGCAGCTAAAGTTGCTTCTTGCTGTATATGTAGATGAAGCGGTGTTAGCTCCAGCATAGCCTCTAAAGCTGCTGTTGGTGTAGTCCTTATGCAGCCCGTGGCAGCCATACAAGCTAATTTCTGGTAATGCTGAAGCTTTTGTATAGTGGTGGCTTCATTGGTTTTGGTCCACCATATCAGAGAGCCGTATGTGATCATGGGCCGAATTACAGTTTTTTACAGCCACAGTAAAATTTTTGGCATTAAACCCCATCGTTTGCCAATCATGTTTCTGCATTGCCAGGAAGTTAAACTAGCTTTGCTGATTTTGTTTTCTATGTGTTTGTTCCAGTTAAGTTTACTGTACTATTAGTTTACGTTTACTTACTGAAAGTGTCCCAAACTCAAAGTCTGTTCAATGAGCTCATAGAATGTAAATCTTCAAAAATATTGCATCCCTCCACAACAATCAATTTGACTGGTGATGATTTTGTCACATCTAGAACAGCAGAAAGGATTACATGCAGTAGAAGAAAATTAAAGAAATACATAAAAATTAATAAATATGTTAGGAAAGTACAAAAGTTAATTAAAACAAAAATTAATACAAAAAATTATATAAATATATGTAAGGAAAAGCATGTATTAATTAATAAACTTAAATTATATGCAATTGAGGTGGAAAATATGAAAAACTGTTATGAGACTGAAATAGAGTGTCTCAATTCAGAAGTTTTGTCGCTTAAAAACTCCTTAGAAATTATCTCAAATAAATATGCATCGGCTCAGGTTGAGATAAAAGAACACATATTGGCCATGAATGATCTGGTAAAGTCATGTAAATACAATGAGGAGCGCTTTGACTCCTTAATAAAACATCAGAGTGAGAATCAACGCTCCATACCATGTTCATCGCGGACAATATGTGTAAATAGCAATGACTCCTTATTTTCACCAACACTCTATGACGGTGCCATAACACAGAATAAAAACTTAAAAAGTAGTTTAAATATTAAAAAACATAAAGTTATTATGTATTGTGATGACATAGGTAAAAATTTGGGCATGATGTTAAATAACCATTTAAGAGGACAATTGATTAGTAATTATTGTATGCCTGGAGCATCCCTTAGTCATACAATGAATAAAGTTTTAACCAGTAAGTTTTATCCTAATAGCACATTAATAATTCTTGTTGGGAGAAGAGGCAATGTAAACAAAAATCAATTATTAAAATATATTGATTACCTCAATACTTTAAATGTACATAAAATTATCTTGTTTACATTGCCTTACATACAGGGTTGGCCACAGGAGAATAAAATAAGAAATGATTTAAATTTATTAATGAATAATTTATCATGTAACAATAATTTAAATTTGACTAACAATTATACCAATAGAATTAATTTAATAGATATTAATAATTTAATTAAGAAATTTTTGACTACAGATAGGTATTACCTATCCAAATATAATTTAAGACAGATAGCAAATGTGCTATCTTATTATTTATATATTAACTCAGCCAAGGACTTGGCTACCCAGACATCTGCTCCTATTGAGCAGCATAATGATTTGACATGTAATTTGGAATCCGTTCCAAGTAATTTAAATTAGAAAATGAGACAATAGAGGTAATCTCTAGCAGTTATAATAATTTAAATAATTTAGAATGTAGCTAACAAATCCTTAATAGTTGCAATTGTATAACTCCACAAAATGATAATAAAAATTGTTTACACCTGGTGCATCAGAATATACAAGGCATGATAGGCAAAGAGCTAGAAATTGAATTGTTTTTAAATAGCAACAATATTCATATTTTATGTATTACTGAACATTGGTTAAAAGCTCATAATTTAATGTTTAACTTTAGTAATCACCAGGTGCTCAGTTCTTTTAATAGAGAAACGATTTTAAGAGGTGGCTCCTTAATTTTAGCTAGTAAATTATTATCATATAAAGAACGTAAAGATATTGTGAGCCTCTCTGTTGAGCGAACTGTAGAAATGGCATGTGTTGAGTTTGAGCACACCTGATTAAATATATATTTTATGCATGGGAGAATTCACAGGATGCTTTGGGTGTGTTCTGTGACCTATCCAAAGCCTTCGATTGTGTTCACCATGAAACATTAATCAGGAAACTTCAACACTACGGTGTAAGAAATGATGCTCTTAAATTAATTATTTCATATTTAAGTGACAGAACACAAAAAGTTATTATTAATAGTATGAGTTCTTCCGGGTCGATTGTACAAATGGGCGTGCCTCAGGGCTCAATTCTCGGCCCCTTTCTGTTTCTTGTATATATTAATGACTTACCTTACATAGTAAGGGATAACCATGATATAGTATTATTTGATGATGATACTTCATTAATTTTCAAATTAAAACGACAGTTATTAAATTACGACGAAGTAAATAATGCTATAGCTAAGTTAGTCAATTGGTTTAATGTTAATAATTTGCATTTGAATGGAACTAAAACTGAATGTATGAAATTCGTAACTCCTAATGTTAAACATGTCAATACTAATGTAATTTTAAATGGGGAGGAACTGAGTCTTGTTGATACCACCATTTTTCTTGGAATCAAACTGGACGCAAAGCTTCAATGGCTTCCTCATATATCAAAACTAGTTAGCAGACTCAGTTCTGCAGCATATGCTGTAAAAAAAGATTAGAACTCTTACCAGTGTTGAAACAGCTAGAATAGTTTACTTTAGTTATTTCCGCCGCATTATGTCGTATGGTATTTTGCTATGGGGACACGCGACTGACACTCTGAAATTATATTTATTTTACAGAAGAGGGCCGTTAGAGCAATATATAATTTAAAACCAAAAGAGTCACTGAGACAAAAAATTAAGGAAATTAATATATTAACTCTGGCCTCTCAATACATTTATGAAAATGTAATGTACGTACACAAAAATAAAAGTAGTTTTGCGAAAATAAGTGATATTCATTCTGTAAATACTAGGAGCAGACATAAGCTGGTAGTACCAGTTACTCGACTCCACCGAGTCAGTAATTCATTCTTGGGGCGATGTATACTCTTTTACAACAAAATCCCAGAAAATATACAAAATTTGTCATACACAAAGTTCAAAAATGTTATTAAACTAAGTTTGTATAAAAAGGGTTATTATAATATTAAGGAATTTATAGATGATAATAACCCCTGGGAAGGGTGATCGCTACCAAGCTATTTCTAATTTGTCTTGTGTTGTTGATTGTAAACATGATTGTAAGCAATTATTAAAAAAATAGTCCCGCTGGGTTTCTTGCTGGTTCTTCCCAGGACAGAGGTTTTTTTTGCGAACCAGTGG